CAAAAAACAGGCTCCTGCCAACTGTAAGTTGGGCAACCTTGGGAAAGCCACTTAGTCCCTCTGAGTTTCAGTTTCTGTAGGATGGAGGCAACGGTAATGCCCATCCAACAATAAAAAGCAGTTAGCCTTATCTTGTAAGGACTCAACATATAGTAGCTCTTACTATTTTCAATCCACTTTTTCAGGTAGTAGATATTTGCAAAGAGCAGACTGGTCCTATCAAAGACCTTTCTTTCTTTGCACTGAACATCTCCACTTCCTTACACTGATCCTCTTTTCTCATAGATGTGAGTCTCCACTCTGTACTTTGATAATGCAGCCTGAAGTGGCATCAGATTTGGGGTTTGTGACAACCATAACTATCGTTCACTGAGCACCTAACATATGTGCCAGAAGCTCTGCTAAGGATAATTACTTACACTAACTCATTTAATCCACACAATAATTCTAGAGGGTAGAAATTATTACCCTCATTTTTCAGATGAGGAAACTGATGTTTAGAGACGTTATAAGTGGAAGGTCAACACAGCTAACATATGGTGGAGATGACATTTTTCTCCAGTCTATCTTACTCTGGAGCCATAATCTTAACCTCTACACCATACTTCCTCCCACAAATATTAAGAATTTATTCAACTCCAATCTTAGGTCTTTTTTTTCTCCTTACGTGATTTTAATAAGCTAAGTGTTCCCAGTCTGGCTCCTCTTCAGCTGAGTTTTTGAATAGGACCTTATATTGTATCCCCCATTCAATTTGATCGTATCAGATTTAATCCAGCATATTCCCTCTCATTCAGCTTCAAGGGATCTGCAACTTTAATCTGATGAGGTGCTATTAAGAAGGAGGAGGAGAACAAAGCCAGGGGCAGAGATTTTTGGCAAGCCGTTAGATGTATTTCCCTCAAGGTATTTCCATCAAGTAGTCATTTCCTAATAGGAGTAACGTTCAACCTTTTACCAACCCACCAAACTGAATTAACATCCAACCTCCATTTCTCTATTGTTGACAATTATTTCTTGAAATATCACACGGTCTTTATGGTTTATATCTGCAGCAAATGTCCTTTCTAGGAAAGGTTGCTCCAGAAAGAATTGTGGACGGAAGGCTGAAGTGGGTATGAGAAAAAATATACATGATGGTCTTGAGTGTTTAAAATACTTTAAGGGAAAAAAATCCCACTTTTGCTTCCAGAAGACATTTAAGCTGAGGAAATAAAGGGCAGAAGATGAACAGGATTCCAACCAACAGCCTTCCCTAGGATCCACCTACACCCACCTGAACCCATCCCAACTGTAATATCACACAACGACGGGACTCAGAGGGAGCCACTGGCATTCGTATATGAATCTGTGACTTGTCCAGCTTCCTTCCTCGGATTCAAGGACAGGGTCTTCACCTCCTCTTGCCTTTCTCTCCATCTGCTACAGCGAGGCATCGTTGTTCCTTACCCCTTGGTTCCTCCATTAACACCAAGGAAAGACTGACCATGGTAATTTCCGTCTTTTTTCATTAGAGAAGAATGAAGTCTGAGGCTCTATCTCACCAAGTCCTAGTCCGCTGGTATCTCAGAACTGTGAGTTTACTTGGTGTTAACCCATTCATTAACCTCAGTGCTTAGTCCCACAGAGGCGTCAATTATACTTATGGAGTAAAAGACCCTTTGCCTCAAGTCTAAACAGAGGGGAGCTTGACGTGCCAACCACCCTGGCCGGAACCTCTCAGTCCCTACTAGGACAGTGCCGTGAGGCTCTGCAGAGCCAACAGGGCATTCTGGGTAATGGAATGCAATATGGCGCAGTTCCCCTGACTGGCCACACCAGGGTTTCTTCATTCCTGGCCCTGCGAGAGCCCAGGCAAACAGTTTTTGAACTGGGGGGAAGAGGGTGGAGAGAAGGGGCGGAGGCTTCCTCTAGGCCAACCACAACTAACTCATTCACTCTGTCCAGCAAAACCCAGACAGTGCAATTATTGGTTAATTTGGCCTTCAGTTGGGAGACAGACATCCAAAATGTGAGGCCAGCTCAGACTAAACAGTGGCTTCCATCCTAAGACTTTTCTCAAGAGCTAGAAGCTGCGTGTGAAATTCCTGGGGGGTTGCTTATGTGACCCACCCATTGATCCAGATGGGAAAAGACAAACGACTCAGACTCCAACATGGGTCTAGGAAGGCATGTCTTCCAGGGAAAAATGCCCAAATGACCTCCTAATTGGTCTCCTGGCTAATTTGCCTTCCGGCTTCCATGGAGGGGGATGGCTGGAAATCAGGATGACTCTAAATTAGCCAACATTTTCCAGTGTGATTGGAGCCCTCACAGACTGGCTGAGAGTCCCTATAGCCCTCCGATGAATTATTCTAAGGGCAATTCCCGCCGACGTTTCTGCTCATAGATTTTGTACCCATAAGTTGGGCCAGGAGTAGCACTGAGATAAAAGGGTAAATTAATACATGCCTCTGGGGTTGTCACCAATGGGACGACACAGGGAAGTTAAGCTGGCTGCTGAGCATTAACCAAATGGTTTATGAAAAACCCAGATTTTTGAGGGTAGATTAAGGAGCAGTGATTTATCTCCCTTGGAAACTGAGAAGCAGCCTGGAATCTGTGGAATCTATCAGTTATTCATTCTGCAAATATTTTCTTCAGTTCTAGTAGGTGCCAGGCCCTGTGCTACTTAGCAGAGCAAGATCCAAGCAGCCATGGTCCCCACCTTCATGCAAAGAACCCTACACCTAAATATATGCATAAGGACTAGAGAGGAAAAGTTGGGGTGCTATGGAAGTGATTCACCAGGTTAGCTGATTTAGATCAGGGTGTGAGGGCTCAGAGAAGGAGTCTTTGAGGAAGGGATTTAAACGCTAACACTTCAAAAAGTCTAATTTGCCTTTTTAGAAAGATCACTCTGGATTTAAGACAAAAATTAAATTGGGGGGCTGGCCCCGTGGCCGAGTGGTTAAGTTCATGCGCTCCGCTGCAGGCGGCCCAGTGTTTCGTTAGTTCAAATCCTGGGCGCGGACATGGCACTGCTCATCAGACCACGCTGAGGCAGCGTCCCACATGCCACAACTAGAAGAACCCACAATGAAGAATACACAACTATGTACCGGGGGGCTTTGGGGAGAAAAAGGAAAAAATAAAATCTTAAAAAAAAAAAAATTAAATTGGAAGTGGGTGAAGACATGGAGTTGGGAGGCTATTGGTTAGGAAGATTGGATGAGGGGTGATGATGGCGTATCCAAGGATCTAGGCAATGGGGATGAAGAGAAGTAGAGGGACCAGGGAGATACAGAATGTGGAGTCAATAGGATTTGGTACTGAATGGGTATAGTGGTGGTTTCTGGCTAAGGTCGAAGGTAGATGGTGACACTCTTCACCGAGACAGGGAACTTGGGAGGACAAGTAGGTTGGGGACCAGGGGAAGATGATGTGTCCTGTTTGGGAGTCAACCACACTGGACTCCCCATCATTCCATACCCTGTACTTCTGGTCTCCTTAGCTTTGCTCATACTGCTTCTTTCTCACATACTCTTCATGTCGCCATCTGCAAGTGCAGAAATCCTACTCATCCTCCCAGATCCATTTCACATACCGCCCCCTGCTCGGAACCACTTCTGACTCCCTCAATTAGTTGTGGCCTCTGCTGCCCATAGTGCTAAGTCTGGATCGCTCTTTCCTGGACTTCACCTGTGTTGAGGTTCTGTGAAGACCTACCTTGCCTCCCTTCCTAGACCACAAGCGTTTTGGACAGAGCCTCTGCTTCCACATCCTCGTTGTCCACATGTTAGCTAGCTAGCATAGTAGACGTTTGACAAATATTTATTAAGTGAGTAAAAATAACCTGCTCTCTGCCATGGAAGGAAAACCAGTAGACATTGGACTCAGTTGAAAGCCACAGGATCAAATTGAAATTCAAGCTGTAGGTGTCTTAATACTAAGCCAACTCAACTCTGATGCTCAGAAAGGCTTTCTGTTCCTCCAACACACCAAACTCAAAGAGTGCTGGAAGAGCCATAGCCCTCTATTCTTTTATTATGCTTTTCTGAGGTCATCTTATAGCCGGGACCTTTTCTATCTTAACTGCTTGCCTGTGGTGATGATGATGATAATAAATGGGCAACATTTACTAAGGGTTGGTATGTACCAGGCAGTGTTCTAAGTACATTTCATGGACTAAAAATTGATGCTTTTATGACCCCAAGTGTACATATGAAGAAACTGAGCTGCAGAGGGCTTAAGTGTTGCTCAACCAAAGTCACAAGGTTAGTTGGGATTTGAATCTAGAGTCTGGTTCCAGTGCCCACGCTCTGACATGCTCTCCTAAGGCCAAGCACAGTGTTTGGCACTGAGTAGGTGTCTAACAAGTGCTCACTGAATGAATGGGAGGAGCCCTAGATCTGGTGACTACAAGTTCTAGTCCTAATTCTGCCAGTGACTTCCTATGTAGCCTTGAGCCACATGTCCTTCTTTCCCCATTAAATGAGGGGTCTGGATATTGAAATTGGTGGTAATAACAAGAGCCAGTATTTGAGATTCTAATTTCTTTTGAAGTTTTAAGTAATTTAATCCCAACAAAAACAATACAAGGAAAATGGGACTCAGAGAGATGAAGTCACTTTCCCGATATCTAGAAAATGAAGGAGTCAGGATTCAAACCCACCGTGCTCCCAAGTTCAAGTGATTCAAGAAGCCTTTGGGACCATGCTGGGGATGGGAGGAGATGGGACAGGATGGAGGAGACAGACTTTTGGGCTCCCCGTGCCCATTTCCATCAGAGAAGCTCTACTTGTCTCTATTTTGTAGAATGGGATCCTACTTAAGATTACCTTTGAAGAACGGTTCTGCTGCTAAAACAGAAAGGGTTGAAAACCATTGGGCCAAATAATTCTGGAACTTAATAAGACTCCAAAGTATCAGCCAGGATTTGTCTGGTAATCTTGGCTCATTATGGCTCCAGCTGTAGAAAAGGTCAGGACGATAGCGCTAAAGACTCAGCTTCAACCTACCTGCTCCACTCGGATCTCAATCTCTCCGTTCACCTTTTTCCCATGGAAGTACTTGGCCCTGTGAAGGAGAGGAAGAAATGATGACGATTCTGAGTAAGGATGCAGACCGCTTTACTCTTTCCTCCCTCCTGGCCTTACCCCCAGAGGTGCATATCCAAACATTCTCTATCTTCCTGCTCTCTCTTCCCACCTTGACTGTTGATTTTCTCAATATTTATCCACATTGTGTGGGAGAGAGGAAAGAGTACTGTATGGGAGGACTGGAGACTCAGGTTCTGGTTCTGCTAAGTCATTTGACCTCCCTGTGTCTCAGTTTTATCCTCTGTAAAAGGAAGATATTAATACCTGCATAATGTATTTCTAAGGATTATGTTAAGGATCAAATGAGATAAAGAATTCTATATAATAGTGCAGAATTATTTTATTCAGTTACATCCTACGTACTTCAAAAAGGACTTATTAAATTGATCTATCCATCTGTTCATTTCTCTATTTGTCCATGTGTCCAGTGAAGCACATTTCATCTACCCCTTTGTCCATCCATCCATCCGTCCACCCTTCCATCATCTTTCCCCTACACCCCTACATCTGTCTTCCTATTATCAGTAAATGGCATCCCGTCTACTCAATTACTCAAGGCAGAAACACAGACATCATTCTTGTTTCCTTTTTCTCTCTCTCTATCCCCATTGATTCTATATTCTAATTATTTCTCAAATCCATCCATTTGCCCATTTTTCTCTATAATCACCCTAATTTTGACCTCCTTCATCTCTATTCTCATACAGATTCTCTTTTCATACTCTATTTTTCTTTGATAGCACTTACTACAATTATAATTAGTTATAATTAACAACTGTGTTTAGTGCCTGTGTCCCACCAAACTATGAACACAGTTCCTTGAGGTCAGGAACAATCTATCTAATTCATCATTGTATTCCCAGCACCTCCCAGAGTGCTTAACACATACTAGGAGCCCAATTAATATTTGTTGAACGAATAAAGATTGAAGAGATAGGTGAAGAAAAAACCCCACTTGTTGACTACTTACTCTGTGCCAGAAACTGTGCTGTTGGCTTTAACCTGGAGTCTTTCTCATTTAACACTTACAACCACCACCATGACATGGGTATTATTATTTCCATCCTATGGACAAGGAAACTGAAACCCAGAGAGATGAAATACTTTGCCTACGCACCTTGAATCTTGGTCTCCTAATTCCACATCTATGTATTTGTTCAACCCTGAAAACTAGCAGCGAATGTTGGGGTGCTCCTGGGTTTAGATGTCCTCCCACAAAGCAAAAGTAATAAAAGTTTCCACTTGCCCTTTTTGATTGTTGGTGTGATGAAAACAATGGTTCTTAGTCACTTGCTGTAAGCATTTCCATAAACCTTCTCTTGGGAAGAGACAGCTCTTTGCTCCCAATACCCATCCTCCTCTTTTCCCACAATGAGAGACTTTATAGATTGACACCAAAAAATGTATATTCCAACTCTCCATTCAGCTAGGTGTGTCACAAGGTTGAGTTCTAATCAATAATTTACAAGCATGACACCAAAGAAGCTTCTTCGTACTTTCTTCTTCTATTCTTTTCCCCAGAACATCAACATTGCCATCAATTTTTCAACCTTCCATTTGTGAAAGAAAGAATCCTTTCTACAAGTTCTCTGACCAAGCTTCGTCTGTCTGCTTCCAAAGTCTCTCTGTCTACACTTAGCCAATGCCAGTGGAATTCATCTCTTTCCAACACCGCCTGAATCACTGACTGACAGCTCTAATACTAACGTCACCTTTGCTTACAATGTTCACAGGCTCAGGTGTAAACCAGGCAGGATTTTAGTGGGACACAAGCTGTTAGCGTGACTTGAAAGCAAGATTTTGGTTTTTTTCTCCCATGATGGTCTTAGACAAAATGTGTGTGCAGCCAGCCTCATGCAAAGGGAGCCTTTTCACATAGTTTGTGAATTTTATCACCAATCCTTAAAGGTAGTGTCGCAGACTCCAGACACTGTGATAAGCCCATCTCTAATATTTGTGGGGCCTGGGGCAAAAGAACAAATAGAGGCCTATGTCTCATATGCTTAAAATTTGAAGTTGATAAACAAAGCTGGCAAACATTTAAATAAAACAGGTCTGTCTTCCTTCCTGGACAAACACAACTTCATAAAGACTTGGAAGGGTCAGAATTTCGACTTCTCAGAATTCTTGGAGTTCTACCCATAACATGGCGGAATGGGGCTTGCCAGCTCCTGGTTGCCACTGTCCTCCTTAATTCTCTTCCCACCTCCTCTCTGTCCTGCACCGCTGGGGCTTCTTGTTCAGGCTCGTGGATAGCCTAGGCCATGTGGCCAAGCTTCTTCTCCTCACTCACGCCCTCATCAACAGTCGTCCCTTGGCCATGTCTTGGGAGAGAGGACCAGGGAATTGGCCTACAAAGGCCCTGGAGTTGGGTCTGGGTCCCCTTAGGCAGGGAATTCTAGGGTTCAGGGTCCCCAGCACATGGTCTAAGGGTGAAGTTTGCAGGTCCCTGGTACAGCGCCCTCCTTGCTATCAGGAGGGGTATAGCAAAGGGCCAGAACAGGACTTAAGTCAACGTTCCTCTAGCTTAGATTTAATAGAAGTCTTGGGTAGGCCTGGGACCTCGGGATGGTAACTCATGAGTGCCATCACTAGTATTCTGGAAAAAGCATGGATTTGGAATCATACAAGCTTGGGTGAAATCTTAGCTCTCCTACTTACTCACCACGTGTTCTAAGACAAGGAACTTAACTCCTCTAGGTCATATTTTTCTCATTTGTCAAGTGGTGATAACATCTTCCAGCCAAGGTGGTGGTGAGAAATCACTTGATCCTCCACACAACAAGGCATAGAGTGTAGTGGACACAGGGCTGGACTGCCCAGATACAATCCCAGGTCCGCCATGCACTTGCTGTGCAACCTTAGGTAATTCACTCAACGTCCGTGTGTCTCAGCTTCCACATCTGGGAAGTGGGGATAATAACAGTAGCTATCTCACAGGGTTGCTGTGAGGATTAAATGAGGCAAGACATAGAAAGCACTTAGAACAGTTCCTGGCACATAGTAAGCGCCAAAGTATACAGCCCAGGGCCTGAAACGGAATCAACAACAACAACAAAGAACGATTGACTGTTTACTCTGTGCCTACGGGTGCCGTGTAGTGGGGACCCCCAAATAAAACATCATCTTGCCCTCATGGAGGTTACACAACACAATAATGACTCACCTCACTTTGATCTGTCCCATCAGTGCAATAAGTGATGGATGATGATAATAATAATAATAAATAGACAACATTGGTATTTAAGGCCTGCAAGCCCCTTCACACCCCTCCCCCTATTTGACCCTAATGTCAGCCCTGAGAGGTGGCAGGGCAGGGAGCAGTCCTCACATGTTCCAGATGGAGAAGTCCCTGTTCAAAGTCACACGAAACCTCTAAGTGGCAACAGTGAGTTAGATCTCATGCTTTCAGATTCAGTCCAGACCCTCTGGGCCCTTCATGATCCAGACCCTGGCGACGTATAGCCCATTTTTCCTCCAGTTCTCCACCTACCACGTGGACACACTCAGCTTTCTGTGATCCCCTACACATGTCCTAGGCTTTTACTCCTCTGGGCCTTTGCATATGCTCTTCTCTCTGCTTGGGATGGCTTCCTACTCTTCTCTGCTTGGCTGCTTCTCTCTCATATTCCAAGATCCTTCCCTACTCTACCAAGCTTTCCTTGAAAGCGCCTCCCTCACGAGGCTGGGCTAGATGGCCCTCCTCTGGGTTCCCACAGTGTGCCACACCTAACAAGCATCATAACACACATCACTCCGTGTTGGAATTACACAAGGTTTGTCTGTCCCCTGCCCCCCATCCACCTAGTCTCTGAGAGCCTGGAAACCTGAAACTGCATCTCTATGCTCACTGAATCGCCAGTATCCGGCACAAAATGCCAGGGCACAGGCACATGGTTAACAAATGTTTGCTGACTGGGTAAATGAATAATGTCTTCCAGGGACAGGCCATAGGGTAGCCCGTCCTTGAGACACTTTACTGCCATCTACTGGTACACTGTTATAATACACTTACCAATATACTCTCTGGGGTCATGGTACAGTGTCCAACCTGAACAACTGGCAGCCCTTGGGCTTGAGCCTATCCTGGAACTCAGAGCACTTTGCACTACACCAATACCACCCAAGCAGCTCTGGCCTTCACAAGGCCCCACCTTCCCAGAAGAAACACTTGTTTTGCCCATCTCTGGAATTTTTACTGCAGAGCCTGGCAGACAGACTCAGGCTGAAGCTGAGGGTCAGGTGGTCCATCCCCCTGCCTGGCTGGGAGTCAGAAGTCTGTCTCCTGACGGGCCACACAGACTGCTGCCTCCTTGCCGGGGGCTCATTCAGGCTTGAGCTGCCTTTGAACAGTTCTGTCTGGCAGAGGGAAGGGTAGGGATGGTCTGGAATTCTAGATGCCTTGGGGGCTGGGGTTGCTGCCTCTGTAATTGCCCGGCTGTTTGACCTCAGGCGAAATGGACAATCCCACCATGCCTGAAGGCTGCATCTCCATAATGGGACCACTTCCTAATGCCCTAGTATGTTTATTCTCATAACGAGCTCCTTCAATATCCTGACCAATCCGTCAAGCCCTCAGCCTTGGGAAGGGGGTGGGGGCAGCTCTTGATTCCACCAAGCTTCCATCTCTGTGGGTGGTCTCATTTTTTTACCGCCACATCAGAGGCACCAGGAAGGAGAATATTATAAACCCGGTGCCGCCTGGGGTGGGAAATCCCTAGTTTGGGGAGGCGGTATGTGGTGTGTGAGAGAGATTTATGAGGAGCGGGTACCCAGTTCTTTCCTGGCTACAGCAGGAGCAGGAGGAAGAGGAGAATTAGCACAAACAGGATCCACCTGTGTCCAACCAGCGCCCATCTAATAAATCCATCTGGGATGTAGAGTCAATGCGGCCAGGCCTCGGCAATGCCCTGCCCAGGGGGTGGGGTCAGGAACATTCTGTCTCAGGCACAGCTGTGTCCCCACGGGTTGCCCCTC